ACCTTTTTTTTTTTTTTTTTGGATAAAACCCACATAGGGGCCTACGCATTAAACACAAGAAAATTACAAGCCTTTGAGAACCTTCATCTCTCTAAAAGTACAGCCTTTGAAGAAAAAATCTACGAGCCAAAATTTCTACATATTACAATGATAAGCATAAGTAAATAAGGCAACAAAACAAAGCAAACAAAGAAAAAACAACATTTCACCAGAAAGATCCCCAGTCCCAAACATGGAGCCATACGAGCCACCCAAAACAATCTGCAAGACCAACAACACCAGTGAAAAACAACAAACAAAACCAATTACTTCAATTTAGACTTTCTGCTACCATGTTTGCCGCCTCTGCAAGAAAATGCTTTTTCAATAATGCTATCCACATTCAAACTATACATCACATGAAACTTATTGACAGACTCACCCAAATCATTCCCAAAACCCCCACAGGGTGTAGAATCAGACCCAACAAACCAATCATTTTGATCCAAACAAGTATCCTTCATATTCAACGATAATTGATCTTTTAAACCAACATTTGAAATAATAAAAATCAGAACATAAATAAACAAATTCCCATTATAGGGTAGCGAATCTGCATCCGATGAAGGAATGGGAGAACCATCATTCTTCCTAGGTTCCATTCCAAATGGCATAGAGTTAACACCAGGATGAGAAAAAGAAAAACCTCCATCAACACCGTCACCAACACAAGGGGAGGAGATGAGAGAAGCAGTAAGGTTAAAAGATCACCCTGCAATTATTAATATCCAAACTATCATTAACATCTTAACTTTCAACACAGGCAATAGACAAATGCAAAATAATATTCAACGGAGTAGTTTTCTCCTCAACAATACCGACCTTATTCCGAATGTGAAGATCACCAAGAATCTTTACCAAATCATAAGAAGCTTCAATGCAATCACCCCCATTAGCCAACAACACATTAATAGGAGATACAAGAGTCAAATTAGGGATATAAACATTATCCACAGTTTCCAAAACACCTTTCACATTCCAATCAGAACTAACAATATTAGAAATAGAAGAACCCGAATTTAAGATACCGCATTCCTTGTTATCATGGCCCAAGGCTTTACAGTGTTCACAAAAAGAAGGTAGATTTTCTATCACAATAGTTTGAAAATAAACCAAATTATTTGAACCAATCCAAACAACATCGGGATAATGTTTTGTTATATCCAGTTCAACTAAAACCTATGCAATCGAAGGGTGTGAACCCATAGAGGTTACATTGCCAATGCTCAGAGGCCGACCAAATAATAAGTCCAATCCATGAAAAAAATACGATGAGAAAAGAGATGAGGCTGCAATTTCGGGAATGAGGTCCAAATAGGGATAATGGGAGATTCAACTGATAAATCCAAGTAAGGAGACCACTTAATCAATTTCATGAAACAATTATAAACAAAGTAAGAACGATGCATAAAAATTCTATAGTAATCGAAATCATTCGCAAGTTTAATCATAACATTCTTGACTTCCAAAAGAGTCGAAGAACATTCATCAGCAAGCTTAAGATTAACAAAGAACTTCCTAATGAATTCCAAAGACGGACGATTGTTTGAAAAATTTTCAACCAAAGAAAATTCAAAAGGCGCAGCAAGAGCCACAATTTTCTCCTCAGAAATCCACAATGACGACATATCGTTAAAAGACAAAGTTTTAATAGGCGGGAAGGCCACCACAGTGGCACCAGCCAAAGCATTAATAAATGACCTCGAAACACTTTTACCAGACATGAAGCTGGGATCCCACAATGAGCCCAAATATTTGCCATCCGATGCAATTGGAGGATGAAAATCAAGCCACCATCCACGGGAAAGCAAAAACACGAAGAAAAGAATACGTCCCTGAGAGATGATGCCAGTACAGGCAACTCCTCTCTTCCTTACGTTCAACTTCTCATGCAGAAACCAATCCTTCCTCTGATCTCCCTGCTCGAGCAACCAGACATAGCATCCACATCAAAAACTGCACGACCTCCAGATAACTTAGCTGTCGGTCCCGCAGATTCGAGCCAAGGCTAGGGCAAAGCAGAGCGTCGACTGACAGTTATTTTGTTCTTTCACAATTTTAACAATTTTGGTCTAATGTTTCGATGACCATGCTCTTTTAGCTAGGTGCTTGTAGCTTTTCTTTTCTTCTACTTTTTCCTTGTAATTTTTTACACATGTAATTTTATTTTATAATAATGAAATGAGATTTGCTCCTAATTTCCCCCCCAAAAAAATCTAATTAATGATAGATTGGTAGAATTCTGAGTGCTATGGATATAAATACAAAAAAATTCCTTATTTTAACTCATGAGTCTGCCATTGAGACTCTGCTCTTCTTCCTTGCCTCGATGATGGAATGGCAAGGCCGGCGTCACTCTTCAAGCACCTACCTTTCGACCTCTCCCTCCCAAACTCCACATTCTTTTCCGACCTAAATAGGGATAATGGGAGATTCAATTGATAAATCCAAGTAAGGAAACCACTTAACCAATTTCATGGAACAATTATGGATGAAGTAATAATGATGCGTAAAAACCCTAAAACAATCCAAATCTTTCACAAGTTTAATTAGCACATTCTTGGCATCCAAAAGAGTCAGAGAAAATTCACCAGCAAGCTTAATATTAACAAAGAACTTCCTAATGGATTCCAAAGATTAACGATAGTTTGGAAATTTTCCAACCAAATAAAATTCAAAAAGTGCAACAAGAGCCACAATTTCCTCCTCAGAATCCACAATGATGACATACCGTTAAAAGACGATGTTTTAAGAGGCGGGAATGCCACCCGAGTGGCACTGGCCAAAGCATCAATGAATGACCTTAGAAACTTTTTTATGAGACAAGAAGTTGGGATGCCACAAATGAAGTTGAATATTTTCCATGTGATGCAGGCAGAGGAAGAAAATTATGCCACCATCCATGGGAAAAGCAAAAACACGAAGAAAAGAACACTTCCCTAATACACGAGGCCTGTACGGGCAAACTCCTCTCTTCCTTGCACTCAACTTCTCACGCAGAAACCAATCCTTCCTTTGATCTCCCTGCTCGGGCAACCAACCGCAGCATCCGCATCGAAAACCGCATGGCCTCCAAACAACCTAGCTGTCGTTAGGTTCCTAATCTCGCAGATTTGAGCAAGGCTAGGGTGAAGCAGAACATCAGTTGACGATTATTTTGCTCTTTCACAGTTTCCACAATTTTGGTCTAATGTTTGGACGACCTTGCTCTTTTTGCTAGATGATTGTAGCTTTTCTTTTCCTCTTTATAATTTTTTACGCATGTAATTTTATTTTATTGTAATGAAATGAGATTTGTCCCTATTCCCCCTCCCAAATTTTATTTAAGAATAGATTGGTAGAATTCTGAGTGCTATGGATTAATGGATATAAATACAAAAAGAATTCCATATTTTACCTCAGGAACCTGCCATTTGACGTCCCGTTTTAAAATCTTCCGAAATATCAGTCCCCTTGAGGCCTGCTCTTCTTCCTCGCCTCGATGATGGCATGGCAAGGCCCGCGTCAGTCTTCAAGCAGCTACCTTTCGACCTCTCCCTCCCAAACTCCACATTCTTCTCCGATCTCCTCCAAACCTCCATTAAAGCGAAGTCCCTGTTTGAGGTTCAGCGTGTCCATGCTCGCCTCCTTAAGACTCACTTCGCCTGCGAGGTCTTCATCCAGAACCGGCTCATCGATGCCTATGCTAAGTGTGGGTTCCTTGAGTATGCCCAACAGGTATTTGACAAAATGCCCGACCGAAATACCTTTACTTGGAATAACATAATAGGAGCTTTTCTTAGTTTCAAATTGGTTAGCGAGGCAGAATGGCTCTTCCAGTCCATGCCCATGCCCGATCAATGCTCTTGGAATTTGATGGTCTCAGGTTCAGCGCAGCATGGTTGCTTAAGGAAAGCCCTTAAATATTTCAACGGTATGCATAGGGAAAACTTTGTGCTCAATGGGTATTCCTTCTCTAGTGCTCTCAGTGCTTGTGCTGGCTTGGTTGACTCTGGATCTGGCGTCCAGATACACGCATTGATTTCAAAATCTCCTTTTGCTTATGATGTCTACATGGGCAGTGCGCTGGTTGATATGTACTCCAAGTGCCGGAGGGCGTTTGAGGCACACAGAGTGTTTGATAATATGCCAGAAAAAAACGTTGTATCCTGGAACAGCCTGATCACTTGCTACGAGCAGAATGGCCCGGTCAGTGAATCCTTGGATATGTTTGTGAGGATGATGGAGTGCGATGTTGAGTATGATGAGGTGACTCTTGCTAGTGTAGTCAGTGCATGCGCTAGCCTCTTGTGTATCAGAGAAGGAATGCAAATACATGCCCAAGCGATTAAATTTGAAAAGTTGAGAAATGACTTGATATTGTGCAATGCTTTGGTTGACATGTATGCAAAGTGTGGTAAAGTCAGTGTTGCGAGGAAGATTTTTGATGGCATGATGGTTAAGAGCATGGTATCAGAAACCACAATGCTTACTGGATATGTGAAATCATCGAAGGTCAATGATGCAAGGTTGATGTTTGTGAAAATGCCAGAAAAGAATATTGTGGCTTGGAATGCTCTAATTGCTGGTTATACACAAAATGGAGAGAATGAGGAGGCCCTTAGACTGTTCCTTATGTTGAAGAGGGAGTCTGTTTGGCCATCTCATTACACCTTTGGCAATGTCCTTAATGCCTGTGCTAACCTTGCTGAACTCCAGCTTGGCCAGCAAGCTCATGCTCATGTTATGAAGCATGGTTTCAGATTCCAGAATGGTCCAGAACCTGATATCTTCGTTGGGAACTCGCTATTAGACATGTACCATAAATGTGGATCTATAGATGAATCAAGGAAGGTTTTTGAACGAATGCTCAATAGAGACAGGGTTTCCTGGAATGCCATGATTGTGGGGTATGCACAAAATGGAAGTGGACTGGAGGCCATTAATCTCTATAAAAGGATGCTGATGTCAGAAGAAGAACCTGATAATGTGACGATGATTGGGGTTTTGTCAGGTTGCAGCCATGCAGGGTTGGTGGAAGAGGGACGCAAGTATTTTGATTCAATGTTCAAGGAGCATGGTTTAATTCCATCCCGAGATCACTACACTTGCATGATTGATTTGCTCGGCCGAGCAGGTCAATTTGGTGAAGTGGAGAAGTTTATAAGAGAGATGCCTATCGAGCCTGATTCTGTTTTTTGGAGTTCCTTACTGTCGGCATGTAGAGTGCACCATAATGTTCAAATGGGAGAATGGGTAGCTGGGAGACTTTTTGAGCTTGATTCAGAAAATTCAGGACCTTATATTCTTTTGTCAAACATGTATGCTGAAGTAGGAAGATGGGCTGATGTTGTGAGAATTAGAAAGTTAATGAAGGATAAAGGAGTTATTAAGCAGCCTGGGTGTAGCTGGGTTGAGATTGGAAGGAAGATACATGTCTTCATGGTGAAAGATAAAACCCACCCAAAGAGAAAGGAGATCTATAGAATCTTGAGAGTTCTAAAAATGCAAATGGAAAGGCTTGGAGCGAAATTGAATGCCGAGGTCTCTCCAGATATTCTGTTACTTGGAGCTGAATAAAAGCATTTAACATCTATGAAGCTGAGCAGAGCAAACTGTAAGTTTATTGCTTCACAGTGGTTTTTTCTACTTAACGATCAAGGAGTTGTCTTCTTCAATTTGATTCCTTGAAGCTTCAATATCTGGAACGGCACTTTGAACCTAATAGATGTGGTTCGGAAATGCATTACGTATTTGCATTGTTTATGCAGAAAAAAATTGCCTGAAGTTGAAGCTTTTGCACACTTTTATTGAGCGAAATCTGTGGTGAAAATATAGTAACATATGATGGATATAAGGGAAATTCTGTCAAGTCTAAGGATTAGTATAGGAACTGATATATGCCGGGTGCTATATGGCATTATGTCTTTACAACCTTAGCAGCCAAAATACTGAAGAAATGTCAAATGTGCATAGCATGAACTGGGGTCTGAAGCTATTATATTTGACTTAGACTAAGGGGAGAATGAAAAAGAACTCAACAGAATATCTGCATCTTACCTCGCTATATGCAATATTCTAATGGAGACTTTAATTAGAGACTTTTTAATGGGAGTTACGACCGTAAACATAGAAATCAGTATTTCTTTTCGGTAATTTCTATTCATATTCCCTGACAATGATGCTAATTTTTTTTTGGGAACGTTAAGACCTTCGAACAGCTCTTGAGAGGAAATAATTCGCGTCTACCAACCGAGCTACGCACGCATGCCCAATGTTGTTAAATTTGATTATAGTATTTCATCAATCTGCTACTTCAGCCTGAATACTGAGTCAGTATCTTGATTCCTATACATTAAAATTTCATGGAAACTAAGCACACCAATTCAGTGCTAAAAAGGCTGATTATCCATAGCAAATAGCAGTTTTTTTCTGCACATTTTGTGGTTAATCATACATATATATATATAATTCTATAGTCACGAAATATTTTTCATTCAATATATCAATTCGAGTGGGGTTTATTTGATGTGGGTGTCGGTTTCTCATGAGCGCAAGCCTCCGTGATTAATTACATCTTAAGCCTTAAGAATACTCTTGATTAGGGATGCTATTTTATTCTCCTCTTGGTTTGATGCATAATAGAGGTTTCTAAATTATTCTAATTCATAGGGGATAAATTTTTCTATTCATCTTTAGCGAGGATTAGTTTTTTTAAATGTATGAAGATTTAATTAAAAATTTGAGTTTAGAAGATTAAAGATTTATTTACTATCCTAGGAGAAATTATAGATTTAGATTTTTTTTGGAGTTAGAGAAGAGACATAGAGGGGTATATAATTTGGGTTTAGACTTACTTAGAGTGAGTTGTCAGCTATCATTTTAAACACAATTAATCGCCTTATGAATGTAATGTAGGATGACACTATCCTAAGAAATCAAGATTTTTTTTTTAAATTCAGAAAATTTAATCGAGACTCTTAAATATGCTAGTGTATCTAACTAATGTCATGCATGTTGTATGAAATAAATGCATAAATTAAATCTTTTATTCATTTATTTAAAAAATAAATACAACTCAGGGTTTGTTGAAAGTAAGTTAGCCAAGCACAAAATACTTGAATTTCTATCCCTATAATTAAATTCAAATGCATTTGCTTTCTTCTAACTACAAGTCTTTTATAGGGTTCCAAAAAAGGACACCCTTCAAAGGAGAGGTGATTATCTTTTGAAGCCACATATATACATCTATAAACAAATATTTTTCAATATTTACAACTCAATGAATATATACAATTAGTTATATTCCAGACACTTTACATTTATATTAGATCTTTTATAGGGGTGTCAAAATCGAATTTTTAATCTGATTTGGGTCCAACTCGAAAATGACTCGGCTTTAATTGACTCAATCGAAGGTCTCGTGAGGGGTGCATGGCTATGAGAGGGGACGAGGTCATGCAGAGGGTGAGGGGTCGCACAAGGGCTTGGGTCTTGCAGGGGTGCGTGGTCGACCGAGGCGTGGGCCACATGGTGCATGGATATTGCATGGAGGTCTTGCATTTTAATTAGGTGTTTTAATTCTTAATTAAGCTTTCAATCTAATCTACATTTGTCTTCCTAAAAGGAGTTAAGCACAATGATATGAAAGCTTTAATATCAAGTATTTTATTACTGATTTTTAATGATTATTTAAGTTAAATAGAAATTGTCTTTGTTTACACCAAAATTATGAGGTTTATTTCATTCTTTTTGAGGCTAATTTAGTAGTCTTGTAAGTCCGGATTATCCAATAGTTACCTATTTAAGTTTGATTATTCGCTGTTGAATTTTTTTTTTAATTTAATCTATAAATTGCTGATTTATAAAGTGTATAATTTAATTTATATTTATACTTTTAATTATTTATTTAAATACTTAATTAATTTTAATTGATTTATCATAATTATTTAAGTTTAATCATTTAATTTTATTTTGAAATTTTATTTTATTTTCATGTAATTTTAACTGATTCTTATTTTGCTTATTTAATTTTAGTTTACTTAGATTCTGCAAATGTTCCAAATATATGTAAAATAATTCATGAAAACCTTTTTTTTTATATCATATCAGCCATTACAAAAATAATCGTTAGATATCAAGAACATGGGAAATAAAGCAACTTCATTTTAACACCTCATTTCCATGAAAATCTAATTACAATAAAATGATTATTTCAATCCATTGATTAGTATAGCTCTCGATTGTAGAGTTCAAAGAAATTTTGTTTTTCGGCGGAATAATCAGCTGCAAAATAAAGGAAATTCGTTGCAAATTCTGGTTTGCGACGGATTTGCGATGGAATTGTTTCCACCGTTAAAACTAGTGTTGCAAAAGTATTAGCGACGGAAAAAATTCATCGCAAATATTTTGTGTTGCATTTGCAACGACTATAAGACGATAATTTCGCCGCAAATTGAAGTGGAATATCCGTCGTACATTGTAACCGAAAATCCGTCACACAACCGCTGCTATTTGTGACAGAAATTTCCGTCGCAAACAATAATACTAGTTCATCGTATCAACATTTACGATGGATATTTCACCACAAATCCGCCGGAAACTGTTGCATAAATATAAAAAAAATAACTATGGCTATCTATAATTAATCTTTCACATCAGTACATATCCATATAGTTTAAAAGCATCAATCAAAGTAGTAATAAAAATAAATAATAAAATCCAACATTTGAGGAACTTCTTGTCCAACTCAAAATTAAAAATTAGAAGATAATATGACCAAAAAATAAATAAATGTGTCATTTTGAAAAGTGGATTTATGGGTCAATCTAAATCCGACCCGTTTAATAAGCATGTCGGAACTCTAAATCCAAACTCAACCTGTTTATTAAATGAGTCAATGTGAATCCAAAATTTTTGAGTCAGATTTAGATCGTGTTGATAGTTCGGATCATTTATTGACACTTTTTTTTTTATTATTTTTTATTGACACCCTTAATCACATTCGAGCAATCCTCATCTAGGTAAGTTGGTGAGTCTTTTATTCTTCGTCAACCCTTAGAAATCAAATTGTGGCGACCGTTGGATGACATCCTTAATTTGAGCCAGAAATTTCTGACAAAGAAAAAGTGGTCATTTGAGAAAGATGGTGATGAAATTCAAAGTGTGACACAACTCTCTTTGGCCTATTGGTTGAGAGCTTAGGCTTCCAACTAAGAGGTCCAAGGTTCGAGTGTATGTGTATGCGTTGTGTGTGTGAGTTTGCTTTAAATGGCCTAAATGTCCCAAAAAAAAAAAAAAAATTCAGAGTGTGTACACTGCACTAATTAGTTTCGTATTAAGTCATGAGAACAGCAAGTTGGGGCATCTCTTCATGGCTTGTAAAGATAAGTTGGTTGAGCCACTCTTTGCCAAAACAAACATAATGGTAAAGTTGAGGCCAACTTAAATAGATTACTTGCAGAAGAGATAATGAGACTTAAAATAGTTTTCAAATGGTAAGTTACCTCTTTACAAAATAAGATAAGAATTTTAGAAAGTTCCCTCACAGAATCTAAGCCTTCGTTTGGGATGGCTTTCTTGCTACTTTCTGAAGCAGTTTTTCAGTACAAAATTTTCTAATTTAAATTTTTTTTACTAAAAAACTTCTTTAGAGAACTCGCTTGTTTGGAGTTGCTTCTTTTGGAGAGAGAGAGAGAACCTAAGCCTTCGTTTGGGATGGCTTTCTTGCTACTTTCTGAAGCAGTTTTTCAGTACAAAATTTTCTAATTTAAATTTTTTTTACTAAAAAACTTCTTTAGAGAACTCGCTTGTTTGGAGTTGCTTCTTTTGGAGAGAGAGAGAGACAACTTATAAAGTTTAAAGAAGCCGTGAGTAGAAAAGACAATCCTCTTTTCTTCTAACTATAAAAATCTTAACTATCTTGTTAACTTGGATACATATAAATGCTTTGTGTTCCCAATTATTTCTAGAATTGTGCGTGTGGCAGTCCTGATTCTAGTGCTGAATTTCAATATCTTGAGCCTCAAAAGAATCATTATCAACCATGTAGTGAGTGAGTGAATAATTTTAAGAAGGATATTTAAAGGCTAGCAAGTGCTAATGATAAGAAAGTTTTTAACACTACAAAATTAACCAACATAAAGTGTCTAAGTACTCTTAGCAAGAAAAAAAAAGGACTGTTAGCAAGAAATAAAATAAAAATGTGACTTGTAGAGGATACTTACCTTGGAAGCATTTTTCACACATAGTATATTCCTCACTATCTGCTCATGCCAATTTTCTTTTTCACCCTCCAATGGTTTCATGATAACTTCTAATTTGCTAAAAACTCTTTTAATTCATCTACTTTAAAGAGTTCTTCAACTACTCGAAAATGCTAACATTTCCTTATATCATGATCATGATCTTTATGAAAAAGTGCAATATTTCTTGAGGTCCTAGTTGTGTGGCTGTGTATATAATGGAGGAGATTGACAAAATGATTTTTTTTTTTTTAATCTTGATCGCATTTACCAACTTGGTGTAAGAGACCCACAAAGCAACATGAGAGGTACCATGGTGGATATTAGTGAATCGTTCATTGGCAACATATGCGATGGTCTAATTTATTGGTTCAATTCACCCTCAAGTTGAGTGCATGGTTGATCCTAGTGAATGTTATCATAGGCTCTGATTTTAACAGAGCAGAAGTTTCCTCTA